AAGTATTTATAAAATTATATGACGAAATCTTGTAAAGAAAAATTTATATTGTGCAATTATATAGATATATTTACAAAAACAGATGTAATAGTTCCGATCTTTTATAAAATATTGATAGCTGTTAATGCAATTTATTTCAAAATATAGTATTTCGACAAAACAGTAATAATATGACGAATTATCTTAGCGGCAGATTTGCTAAATTAAATTTCAAAACAAATTGTCCAATAATTGAAAGAAATATTTTAGTAATGTTTAAAACGTTTAGAAATATAAAAGGAATTGAATCAAATCGTATATACGCATAATTATTCCTAAATTCTAATGTGGAATTATTAAAACATGAAATATTATTCAATTAACATGATAAAATTAAAAAAAAAATTAAACAGTAAATATTTAGTTAACTCAATAAGAAAAATACAAATATTATGTCTGAGAATGCTACAAATATTGCTGTATTATATTATGACAGATATTAAAGAGTGTGATTTTAAGTATTTAGTGTTTATAAGTATTGCAATAATTATAACATGCTTATATTTCAAATTAAATTGGTCTTATTTTTGACAGAATTATTTCGAAATTGTATTATGAAAAAACTGTTGCGTTATGGCAAATTATTTTGTCAGTGCAATTATGATAAAAGATAATTTTTCCTTGTATGATAAAAATTTCGTAATAATTGCCTATTGTGCATTGTGTTTTCACAATATTCCTATCGGGGTAAAAGTGGGGTGGACTCTTATTTAACACGGTCGCTCGAGCCAGCAGTATCACCAGTCTACCACCATCGTAACAGAAATACTCGCATTACACCTTACTTGATTCCTTGACAAATCGACGAGTCGCTGCCGCAAGATTCCATTGTGTACGGCTAACGGAGGTGACAATGATGATATTTTCGGTCGTTTATCTTGGCATCCTTCTCTTACCGGGTAAGACTCTGTTTGAATACTTAAGACATTATTACTTTGAATAATCTAAACACCTTGAAGATGCTTCTTCAAGTTGTCGTTCGCAATTATGTCAGATATATATTTTATGTCAAATTGAGGAATAAATATATAATGATCTGCATGGTTGATTGTTTCGATGAACTTCTTAAATATTCCCAAATAGCAGACTGACGTGTAATACAAGACGAACCAGCAAACGAAAATTTATTGAAATAGATTGAAAATTGTAATTCATTTTAATTTATCCGAATTTGGCACTTTTGAGTCCAAAGATACATTCATGTCCCTATTATATTATTTTTGGATTTAAATAAATTAAAATACAAAATAGATTGTTCTTCATGTTGAATTCAAATATATTTATGTTTGTATTATATTATTTTTGGATTTAAATATTTGAAAAATCAGAAGTGCCAATTCGAAAATGTCGAAATGATTTCATTTCTATTCATTTCAATTTATTTTGTTTACTGTAGGAAACAAAAAACGACTATTTTGCTCTATTGTACCAAAATAAATGTCATCGTCATTTCCATATCTGCAATTGATGTGAATATCAAAATACAAAAATATTATATATATATATATATTTATATATATATATATATATATATATATATATATATATAGTATTTGCGCATTCATTTCAGAAATAATTTATGATAATACCTTATAATACACTTCAATCATTCTAATAATTATAACTAATATCATAAAACTGTTAATCATAGAATTGTTAAATTTTTCTAGATGTATCAAATCCTTAAATATTATAGAAAAATATTATTTGTTTATTTAAATTATGATGATTCTTTGCTGTAGAAATATTTTTCTTTAATGATAAATGGTAAAACAACATCTATTTTTATTTTCAAAAATGTAAAAAATTAATCTACACAATGTTAATCTACACGCGAGTAAAAGGAAATGAGGCAAATAAATTATCTGCTTCATTGAGTAAACAAAATTGGTAACAATTAATTTAAAATTTTACCTACTGCAATGTTAAAAAAGTATGTTAAGACTGAAATACTTTAGTGCACACCGCGATGTGCATTTAATTAATACGTATTGAAATTATTGCTGGGAGAGATGACCGCAGAACACTGCAAAGAATACAGAAGTTGCGATTAAGATGCCGTTTACAATCTTATTAACAGAGATTTTGCTAAATATAATAGAGCTCAATAAAAAAGTACATAATATATATTTTATTTGATTTGACAGATATTGATTTGCGCGTTATAGTTTCTCCGTTTCCAATATGTAATACCTCCATTTTGTACAAACGTTATGTTAAACTGTAAGAACAATTGTTATAACTTAGACATATAATAATTATCATGTAAAAGTGATGAACGTAATATGACGGATTCTTCCTTGTGACTCTCGTCAGGCAAATCATTACGTTAAATTGAATCATCACAAGTAAATGTATCCAGTCATCTCTAATCGAGTAATTTTACATATTGAATACAGAGAACTTTTCCATTCTTTTTTGGAGAAGAATTCCATCTTTAATTATTCTTTTAACGTTCTTCTTGAATAGAATTATATGTACTATTGTTCGAAGCAGAAAGAATTTGGATTTTTATCTGAAGCAACAGATTTTTCATGATTCATCATACGCCGAGACATGGCGT